GCAGGGCTCCCCCGCAGGACAGCAGCAGCAGCAGCCGAGGCCCCAGCATGGTGCGTGGAGAAGCGGTCACCGCAGGACCCGGCCCCTCCTGCCACTGACACCAGGCAGACTCGCTGCACCTGTGCACCGGACTAGCGGCCTCAACGCCTTATATAGGGGCCCGGCCCTGGCCGAGCCGCCCGCGCCCCTCCCGGCCACGTGCAGCGGCGGACAAACAGGATCTCGGCACTGCTTTATCAGGACCTGGGCTTCTTGGAAAGGTCCTGGTGCGGCAGCGGCCCCATTGTCGCGCACTTCCGCGGGGCTGGCACACTTCCCGTTGGCTCCAGGCGGGGATTGCCAGGGGCCAGTCTGAGGTTCGGTTCCAGGGGGGCTGTTCCGGGGGGACAGTTCCGGGGGTCAGCATGGACACTGTCAGCCGCAGTCCAGGAGCCCAGAGGGGCTTGTCCAGGGCATGTGGCGGGGGTGCCAGGCACCCCTCTGCCCCTGCGGGGAGCGCAGCTCCTGGGGTGAGTTCCACTCTCACCTGGACCCCAGGACCCCCAAACGGCCCCCCATGCTGGGCCACAGCCCCCACCTGGGAAAAAGACCGCAGTGGAAGGACTGCCTTTGGGTCATCGGGGTCCTGGGTGCGAGGCCATCATGGGTGGGCGGTGGCCTTGGGCTCAGACAGGACAAGGCCTGGAGGCCCAAGGGGCTGACGCCACAGGCTGTGCCTGGGACCCTCCTCTGCCCGCCTCCGGCCTCGGGTCCTGGGAGGGGCGGGGGGACAAGCTATATCCCAGGGCCCGTTGTTTCCTGCCCCCACAGCTCTGAGGAGAGGAGCAGGGGCAGGAGGCTTGGGGCTGCCCACCTGGGAGTGCATGTGGGGATGTGCCAGCCTTAGGGTGCAGCGCCCACGGCCCTGGCGGGGAGGGCGTGGCTCCTGGGCCAGCATCTCAGGGAGCAGGGGCAGCGGGGCCGCTGGGCCTGGTCCATGGGCAGGACGTAGGCCAGGGCCATGAGGGGTCCTGGGTGAAGGTCATGGTCAGGGTGAGGTGAGGGCCAGGGACATGGGTGTTTGGATACTCGGGAGTCCCTTGAAGTTGGGGAGCTCTCCAGGCAGCCTGGCCCCGAGTGGGACCCCAGGTTAGACTCGGGGTGCGGCTCAGGAGGCTTCCTCTTTCCTGAGGGGGTCTGGCCTCACAGAGACATGGGCGCGGGAGCCCCAGCTCCTTCCACGGGGCCTGGGTCTGGG